GATGACACATGGTTGTAGGGCACAAAGAATGCAAAAGCGGTGGTTAGATCCATCAGTGCTGAATTCGCAATCTAGGCTCCCTCCCCCCACACACACACATATATCAGAAAAACTAAAGACCAACCCACATTTCAGATTAAATTGAGGACATTAATTTTTTGATGCACCATTCCCTAATCAATTACATTTGTAGGAAGTAATGAGCTTTCATATATGATACAAGATAGAAGAGCGTATTTCTCCTAAAAGATTAGAAGTAAAATATTTTTGCTCTGTTTTTGGAATTCCTTGCATTGTGGAACAATTCATTCCACGTTAAACTAAATCAGTCATCTATCTAATCGCTTGTAACTGTTAAGCACAGCTCATCAGGGGTTTCCCATGAACACTACGCATATTATGAATATTGCAATGATCGTGTAACTTTACATTGAAATTCCTGATCCAAGTTAAATTTTGACACTCACAGGCTTATAGACATAACTTATTTTAAAGCCAAAGAGATTAGAGAAAGCAGGGCAGTGATTTTGTTGTAAAAAAATAACTAAATGGATTTATGTATTTAGAACATTCCATCCCCCAGGGCTTATTGCAGATCTAGAAAATTAGTTGTTATTAATATTGTATAGCATTACAAGTGCAAATGTCTCAGAGATATTAAAAGTGGATAAAAGTCATAAAATAAAGCATATGGCCAGAAATGTATTCCTTACCAAGCTTATGATAGACTTTTTCACTAACCACAGTTCACAGTCAAATAAAAATATTCACAGAGGATGCAAGGAATTGGACTGGGAAGTTATCCAATTAAGATGGGGTACATTTCATTAAGAGACAGAAATAAAGTGTAAAGTTTTTGACATGTGCTATTGGAGATAGAAGTTGCATGATACTTGATGATACTTTTATTCAAGCCAAACATAACATACTGGCATACAAGAACTTATATGATTTTAAGCAGACAGATGAAAAGGAGGTGGAATAAATAAACAATAATATGAAGCAAAGTTATTTTTTATCCATCTATCTATCTTTATTATTTACCTCCAACAGAATAGATATTTGAAATGTTGAAATTGATATGCCTTGTCTTTTGTAACTAAAAATTACTAAAACTATTAGAAAAAAGGTAAGGTCATTAGATCTAAGATAGCCCCAGAAGGATTCTTCCTGAGTATACAAATTGAAATCTAAATTTAAGATATTTTTTTATGAAGGCGTAGGAATAAGTTTCAGAGATAGAAATGCCAAGAACCTCTTTTTTTATGTAAAATAAATAGTTGGTTAAGTGCCCTTCCTTTTATAATTACAATGTCAAACGCACTGTCATAACAAGTTGTGAACATTGTATAAACATCTTCTCTTTCTAAAAATGACGGAGAAAAAAAGATGGTATAATGCAAAGGACCAAGTAGAAATTGCAAACCTTTTTACGATCAAAACAAGAAACAGGGGGCTTTTCATCCTCTTCCAGATGAAATTCAGGTCAGGCCAAACCATAGGGAGAAATACGGTTATTCTCCAGAACATCAAGTTATGGATTAAATGAACAATCCCAAATAATAAAAAAAAAAAGGGGGGGGTGCAATAGTCCCATTTCACAAGGTGAAATGGGACTATTGCACCCCCCCCCCCTTTTTTTGTCAAAAATGCTGGCAAACGTGTCTGAGGGTGTGAAACGAATATGGTCCCTACTTGTCAAGGTAGGGGCACCAGGTGAGTGGTGCAGTGCACCACTCACCTAGTGCCCCTACCTTGCCAAGTAGGGACCACATTCGTTTCACACCCTCAGACACGTTTGCCAGTATTTTTGACAATATATGCTGCGGCTCTGCCCCTTTTTATGATGTCGATGACATAATTGGCACAAAATCGCATCAATCAATAACAATGCCTACTCATGATTTGGGGGTGTAGCTGTTAAGGAAACGCCCCAGGCCCACAAACACAAACTTTACGTCTGTTTATTGCCCTGTTGTGGCTTCCTTGTAATTCCAGATTCCAACGTTACTGATTATCTGTGATTTTCTGGTTATCTATTTTGGCTTGTCTGACGACTCCGATCTCCTCATTCCTTGACCTGATTTGGCTTTTCGATACTATGTTTTCTAGAATTATTGACCTTGGCTTTTTTATTTTACTTAAATCTGCTATTTTGCCTGCTAAAGGCATTGTGTTAAGCCCAGACAATCTAAGTGTCAGCCCTCTTACACTTATCTTGGCTGTCTGCCGATATGCCGACGCTGGGATCCGGTGGACCGCAACTCCCATTATCTGCTTTTCAGGACACTTTCATGCATTCCTGCATATTTGTATCATCCTATAGCCATCAGATTTTATAATAAATCACATAGCATCCCTTTATTTCAAATATTGTATAAACTCTTTCCTCCGGTGAATCAAGAACCTCCTTCAGAATGCAAGTGATTTTCATAGCTATGAAAACACTTCGAACACTTAAAGGGTTAAAACACACATATCAGTTTTCCCTTATTATCCAAAAAAATAAAAAAAACATGAGTTCTGCAAAAGGTCTGGCAACAAATATACCTGGATTTTATGTTACTTGACTCAGAAAGAAATACATCAGGCATACACCTTGGTTGAAGGCCAAGTACTCACTGTAATTATTCAAGTGCTTCCCCTGTGTGAATGAAATGCTTGTGAATTGGTCACAGAGTCGGCTGACCATGTCTAGGTGGAAATGTCACCTAAAGTTCAGATTGACATGCATGGAAGGAGAAATTCCATCAATTCCAATATAAGAAACAAATGCTTAAATGTCTGCGTTTATAAACCACCATATTGCATTTTACGGGGTCCTTCTCAGTCACTTGATTTCTTTTGCTGGAAAATGTTTAAACAACACTTATTATTTAGAGTCATATAAACATAGAGAGATCTATATTTGTACAGAATTATATTTATATTTGAAACTAAGCATTTAGCTGGATCATAAATGTTTCTTAGACAGAGATGCTAAAGAGGAAATTTCATTATATTAATATTTTTCATCTAGCAGAAAAAATGGGTCACTTTGTGATTTGTGTTGTTAACATTTTTTATGCATGGTGTTGGTTTTTATATATGTCTTGATGGTTAAGAAAAACAAACATTCTGATGTTTCAAATGTCTCACTTAACATGCATAAGGAGGGCATTTTGCACGAATTAACTCACGTTTATAAGCAACCTTTAGATTGTAAACTCACGGACCATCTACCTAAGCACTTTGTATAAAAGAGCTTCAGTGACTAGATCTTGACCCTCTTTCTATTGGGCTGTGTATATTTTACTGTCTTTTCCCCCAATTGTACAGGGCTGTGGAATATGTTGGCCCTTTGTAAACGCCAATAATAATAATAATAATAATAATAAAAGAAACATCTTAGAATGTTTTTTTTTTCCAGAAGGATTACAAAGTACCAATCCCCATGTCATATTTAACTTAGCTTTGGTGGTAACATTGTTCAGAGGCTTACAACCCCTATTGCAGAAGACACGTTTTTAATATTTTGAAAAGCGTTCTGCCCCAGTCAATGATAAGGTCTTAAGAATGGTAGAGATGAAGCATCCTAAGTATAGGCCAGAAATTAGAAATGTGGACTACATCCCCCCATAATGCTCTTACACCCATAATGCTGATAAAGCATCATGGGAGGTGTAGTCCAAAACATCTAAAGTGCCGAAGGTTGCCTACGCCTGTGCTAGATAGTCTATGTTTTGGCAACTCTGGATAAACCTGTATGTTCCTTGTGCATTTTGATTGAATGGAAGCATCAGGACTCGAAGAGGACCACATAATGATAGGGATTAGTAATTAACTCAATTTTAAAAATTGAATTATCCTCATATGTCAAAGAAATTAAAATTAGTAGCATATGTTGACTTCAGTTACATGTAACATACTTCACTGGAATGTAAAATAAATGAAAAACAGCAATGTATATGGGATCTCTGTAAAAGCAGATATAAGCAGTGTGTTACTATTGTCAAGCCCAATATGTGTAAGTCTATAATAGGTTTCCTCATATGTAGCTATGTCAACTCATTCCAATCTCTGCTCAGTCCAGCTCTACGGTCTGCAATGCTCCTTAGTGGATATTCTCATTGGGAGAAAAATTATTATATGGAGCAGTTTTCTTGCAGTTATCAGTTTTTCAAGTTAACTTGTTGCTTCCTATGATATCAGGCATGTGTACACAATGTACACTGCTCAAAAAAATAAAGGGAACACTTAAACAACACAATGTAACTCCAAGTCAATCACACTTCTGTGAAATCAAACTCTATCCACTTAGGAAGCAACACTGAGTGACAATCAATTTCACATGCTGTTGTGCAAATGGGATAGACAACAGGTGGAAATTATAGGCAATTAGCAAGACACCCCCCAATAAAGGAGTGGTTCTGCAGGTGGTGACCACAGACCACTTCTCAGTTCCTATACTTCCTGGCTGATGTTTTGGTCACTTTTGAATGCTGGCAGTGCTTTCACTCTAGTGGTAGCATGAGACGGAGTCTACAACCCACACAAGTGGCTCAGGAAGTGCAGCTCATCCAGGATGGCACATCAATGCGAGCTGTGGCAAGAAGGTTTGCTGTGTCTGTCAGCGTAGTGTCCAGAGCATGGAGGCGCTACCAGGAGACAGGCCAGTACATCAAGAAACGTGGAGGAGGCCGTAGGAGGGCAACAACCCAGCAGCAGGACCGCAACCTCCGCCTTTGTGCAAGGAGGAACAGGAAGAGCACTGCCAGAGCCCTGCAAAATGACCTCCAGCGGGCCACAAATGTGCATGTGTCTGCTCAAACGGTCAGAAACAGACTCCATGAGGGTGGTATGAGGGCCCGACACGAACAGGTGGGGGTTGTGCCTACAGCCCAACACTGTGCAGGATGTTTGGCATTTGCCAGAGAACACCAAGATTGGCAAATTCGCCACTGGCGCCTCCATGTGCTCGCCAGAGGTAGCCTGACTGTCATTAGGTACCGAGATGAGATCCTCAGACCCCTTGTGAGACCATATGCTGGTGCAGTTGGCCCTGGGTTCCTCCTAATGCAAGACAATGCTAGACCTCATGTGGCTGGAGTGTGTCAGCAGTTCCTGCAAGACGAAGGCATTGATGCTATGGACTGGCCCGCCCGTTCCCCAGACCTGAATCTAATTGAGCACATCTGGGACATCATCTCTCGCTCCATCCACCAAAGTCACATTGCACCACAGACTGTCCAGGAGTTGGCAGATGCTTTAGTCCAGGTCTGGGAGGAGATCCCTTTGGAGACCATCCGCCACCTCATCAGGAGAATGCACAGGCGTTGTAGGGAGGTCATACAGGCACGTGGAGACCACACACACTACTGAGCCTCATTTTGACTTGTTTTAAGGACATTACATCAAAGTTGGATCAGCCTGTAGTGTGTTTTTCCACTTTAATTTTGAGTGTGACTCCAAATCCAGACCTCCATGGGTTGAAAAATTTGATTTCAATTTTTTTATTTTTGTGTGATTTTGTTGTCAGCACATTCAACTATGTAAAGAACAAAATATTTCAGAAGAATATTTAATTCATTCAGATCTAGGATGTGTTATTTTTGTGTTCCCTTTATTTTTTGAGCAGTGTATATATAATTCTAACTAGTTATAGCCAATCACAGATTAGATTTATCATTCACAAAGCCATAAACATTACTTATAAAATCAATATAACATATTTAATTAACAATGCATAAAATGTAACCTTCTAAAGATGGGCAGTGATTTAGCAACCTCTTCTATTGATTGCGAGAAGAAAACAAATGGCGTACTATTGGGACTTTTTTAATCCACTTTTATTTCAAAGTAAGTACCCATAATAGTAAATGGATATCATCACAGCATAAAACACACGTAGAGAGATAATGATGTGGGTTGAGAAGAGATATCCTTGATGTGAGAAGAAATAATAGGGGAAAATAAATTAGGAGAGAGAAAGTTGAGGGTTGGGAGAGCAAGTTTTATGTTGGGGAAAGATAATAGTTGGGAGAAATAATTGGGGAGCTGTTGATAGATAATGTTGGTGGTTGGGGAGAAAAAAATGTTGGGGCAATAAAGAGATAATGTTGAGGTTGGCAAGAGGATATTATATGAGGTTCGAAGGAAATAACTGGAAAAGATAGATTATTAAGGGCTATAAAAAGATAATTGCAAAGAGATAATGGGAATGACTGGGGAGAGATAAGTGTCAGGATCTAGACAGGGATCCAACACGCAGAGTACTAACAAATATAAAGACGTTTACCGGACCTTAGAGTGACCGGACTAACGTCACACAAACAAAGAATGGTCAGGGACAAGCCGAGGTCGAGGGAATGAGAAGACAGGTAAGCAAAAGCCAAGCCGAGTACAAGGGTAGGAGAAAGTAGCAAAGTCAGAATACAAAGCCAAGTCAATAACCAAAATCAATCACAGAAATAGCACTGAAGGAACAGACAAGCTGGAACCACGACAGGGCAATGACTCACTGTAAGTGAGTAAGTTTTATACCTTGGCTCTTTAATTGATGTCCATGCCCCCAAAACGTCTTGGTTTGGACTTTTCGGTGGGCCGTGACGTCATGACGTCGGCGCAGTTGCGCCGCATCATAAAAGGGGGCGGGGCTATCGCGACAGACGTCTGAACGTCCGAAATGGCTGAAGAAGATGGGTGCCTGTGTGCCTTCCAGAGAATGGGCGTCCAGATGCCCAACCTCCTCTACAGTGGCTACAACAGGTACCATGACAATAAGTTACCTTGCACACACAAGAACACACAAGAACATTGATAGAACCACACACTAACATTGCATGAACAGGAATACCAATATACCCACTTACTGACAGTGCATACAAACACACATAATGATATTGCAAGCACAAACATACCAACCAGAAACTAACATTGAACACATATAACCAAAGGAACAACAACAACCACACATTCTGATAATGTAGTGTATCCACCAACACAAAATAACACAGGAACACCAACATACACACCAACTAGCTTTGTATCATACTAACTGTTAGATCAGTGTGTCATGCTGACACGCATTCCAGCGTACTATGTTATTCTGGCTTAATTTTTGATGTTCCAAAGCTGCATCATTTTATGACGCTCAAACTCTTCACGTCATTTCAGACACACGACTAGACACATCATTTCTGCGTCACTTTTGGATCATTTGGCGTTGCAGGAATGATACAGACCAATCACAGTTTTCCTAAGACTATTTAAGCCCTCTCTGTATTTTCCATCTTGCCTTGTTATGGTTTCCCTTGTGCTTATTTAAGGTCAAGTAGTTATGTAGTTGTATTCCTGATATTCTGACTTTGGCTTGTTCTTGACCATTCTCCATTCCATAAACTGTGAACCTGTTTAACAGTCCCTGTTACTTTCTGTGATTCCAGACATCAGCTAATCCTTGACTTTGCTTTGACCTGTTCAGCAGGTTGCTCTTTTTCTATTACAGCCAGTTCAAAAGACTGGTAATAACATCTGTCTATTACTATTCCTTGCATGTTGGGCCTAATGTTATCATGACATTTTGCATGCACACACACAAACATATCATACATGTACTGGCATTGCATACACAAAGGAACATTAACATACATATATACCGATATTGCACACATTCAGAAATGCGATATGCACACATAATATCCGATTTCCCCTTTTGTCATTGTAATAAACTATAATAAACACCACCACTTTCCAAGGTATGGGACCTGTGAGAGCAATACGAGTCATAGTCCCCCTCAGAGGGGTCAGACAGTCCTTGGGGACCTCAGACCCAGAGGCAGGGGGTGAATTCTCCCTCATCTGTCTCATAGGGAGTATCATAAACTATATCTTATTTCTTATGTTTATATTGTTTTATATATATTATATTTTGCTAAAACATTGGGAGGGGCCTGCTGCTCCGCTACTTGGTTTCCCTTGGGAGGACTACGATTGGGGTCACGGCACATGGCCCACGAAGGAGCCCTGGCCGGTGGACTCTAGGGGTGCCCGGGGGTGGGGCAGAATCCCACAGGACGGTGCATGGGTGGTGCAGCTCACTGCAAAGAAGGAATCATGAGAAGGTTTCAAACTCACACCACTCAACGACATAGTGGTGGTGCAGTGCTATTATGTTATGTTACTCTAAACCTGCTGCCGCCTCTCCCCCATTCCTGCTTCACTATACAATTGGGGGAGTTCTTTTTGTCTATGGATAATTTGGCACTGGGGAAGCTTTACTTAAATTTCTTGTGTGAGGTAAAACATGAAACATAAATCTTCAGTAAATGGAATATTGACTGCCATGCTGATGGGCTATTTAGAATTCCACCTTCTATTCTGCCAACCTCAGCTTCCTCCACGCTATCTAGGTATCTCACGTCTTAAAGTCCAGTGACGGCAGATAGTGACTTTTTCAAACTCTTTTGTTAAAAATATAATTACATAAATACAGTTTGATTTGAAAAATAAAATGCATAATTGAATCAGTACATATTTTAAGTGCAGCAATAAAATGCATATTTTAAAGTATTTACAGTTATCAATAACACCATAGCTATCAAGGCAGTGTTTTTATTTCTCAAATTAGAGTTTACTCCAACAAAACACTAGACACATTTTTTTACGAGGGACATAAAGGTCTATAGCAGTTTAGGTTGATGGAGGATATTTGAATATCGAGTATCTAAAGTGTAGAAAATATTTATTTCCGCCACAATACTATTTTATTGGGATTTGTTAGTTTGTATCACATACTGTGAATGTGATCTAGAAATATTAAGTATGATGGACCTCTTTCTATGTAACATGTATACCCTTCAAGATCATCTTTAGAGTTTGGTTACTATCACCTTCTTAACATTAGTTGAAGAAACACCTTGTGTAAGCACTTTCGCTTGAATTCCAGAGAGCTTACATTCTGGTAGAATGATTTATGTTGGAGTCCTGCCTGTAAGGGCAGCCATCAATAATCCACACTGACAAGAACTACCTTATACCCTCACACTATGTTGAGAGGAAAGAGTTAGGGTGATAGATGTGACACTTAAATACCCATATGAAATCAGCCTTTGTTGCAAGGACTAGACTCATTAATTGTGACCTGTGTCATACGTGTGTTTATGTGTGGTGACACCTTGGATGGGATCCTTCAAATGTGGGGTGTGACATTAGTTTGCAATTTCCAAAAGTTTACCATTTAGGACTGGTTGGCCTTCTCCAAAAGGTCAAGCCTACTGTCCCCTTTTTAATCTTACAGATGTAATATATTGACCTACGTTTATGCAAATCTTAGGTTCCCACTCTCTATTTTGTGTAAACACTAACTAACGAGTTCAGTAATGCTACACCGCGTTCTCCTCAGAACAAACTGGTAGAGTTTGACCCTCCTGTCTTTATACACATCTAGTGCATATACTAAAAGATAACTGTTTTAGATGAATATAGTAGATACACTTAGCTCCACAGCAAGTGAATTGTTATAATCAGTGTCAATAAATGTAGAGTTTGGTAAAAATCATAATAATTGTACCTTTTTGGGTAGCTACTGTAGTAATTACTGTGACTGTTGACATACCAAACAATTCTTTTGTCAGGCGTACACAATACATTCAGCTGGATGACTACAAGTTCTGAGTGACAAGTTTCCGGAAATTCTAAAGCATTCTAAGCAAGAACTTGTAATGACTTATGCAGGAAGCAGTTAATAAGCCCTTTTAATGGAATGAGACTTTATCTACATAAAAGAGGCTTTACGGCAACTTAATGCAAGACAGTAAGACATTTGGCTCCGTTTTTCATATAATTCATTTCTTAATCCAGAGTGATATCCCACAAATTGAACATACTTTCTAAAACATGTGTTAGAGTTTCCTGTATCAGTGAGTTTGCTAGATACATACACCTTTGGTATTCATTTTATAAAGAAGATTATAAATTGACACACTTTGTTAAACTGGAGAGTGTTTGCAATACAAAGCTACACTTAACATGGGAAATAAATATAAAACAATGAAACATTAACATGAATTCTATGCAGTGAGGAAAACGTTTTCTGTGACCTTAGGCTTGTGGCAAATTTGATGTTTTATGGATGATTATAAATAAATGTTTTCAAATATACAGGTAAAGCCTGATAGGCGCATGTGTTATTTCGAGCCCTCTATTGTAAGAGTGAATATGGGGTCGTAGGCTGGGATTCCAGGCCTAGAGGCAGTTTAACTTTGGGCATATTCCACCAATTTA